GTCTTGAGCGTCTGCTCAGACTTATCCTTTGCGGGAGACTGGGATACCATGAGAATTGGCTCATTGTTCTTGCTTTTGCAGACATGACCATGGTAGTAGTTTTCACCACAACGTCTGCAAGGATTGCGACTGTTGGAACTACTGGCTTTGTTCTTGCGGTTGATCAAGGTAAAACACTTGCTGGACTCATGGGTCGGGTTTTTTCCATGGTGCGAGCAGAAAAATGTCTTCTCATGCTTGGTTATCTTGTTGGAGTGGTGAAGCTTCTTTCTGGGATGTTCCTCGTTATTCTTCTCAGGTTGCCCACGGGAACCAGGAATCAATCGGGTCGCCTCAGCATAGAGCCTGTTGTCATCCCCAAGGATGTCTCTGCCGATCTGCGTGATCTGCTCTACAGTCCAATCACGCTTGGACTCCCCATTGGGACCAGAGCGGGCCATGGTAACTCTTACCAGTGTTTGCACTGATAAGGTCAGCGAGGCAAGGAAGCGATCAGCGATGCGAGCATCGTCTTTGGGTAAACCAGCATTGTAAACCGCACGGAGGAACTTCTTCGAGTAATCACCGATGGACTCAGTGTTCTTCATCATCATTGTAAAGACCTGGTCTGTGAATCGCCGAGACACCAAGCTGGAACCATGTCTTTTGTTGAAGCATGATTTCGCCGCCTTCCAATCAATACACTTCTTAAGATCCATCTCTACCCATCCGTCATCAGTGTGAGGCAGGCAAAGTGGGAGGAATTTCTTCCAAACTCTCTCGATGTCCAAGGAAGAAGACTCGATCACATTCTTGAAGGTACGTAGGAAATGTCCAACTGATTCAAAAACCTCTTCATTTGGGAAGGGCTTAATAATACTGGAGGCCAATTGGAATTTGGGAAGATCTCTTCTGTTGAGAGTCAACCCTCCTTCACGGCCAGCTCTCTCTGTGTTTGTACCAGGAGAGGCAAGCATCTCGCTGCACTTTTCAAGGCTAGTGATTGCCAATCTTGTGCGCTCGATCCTGCGGAGTGCATCATCAGCTGCTTGCTCATTGTTTGCTACATGAGCAGCGCTGAAGGCCTCGATATGGTTGCCCAATTCAGCCTTGAGAACGGCCACACAGGAGGAAGCAGTTGCTACTTCTCTACCAACGGGAGGGGAACCAGAACCAGAAACGGAACCAAAACCAGGGGCAGCATCCGGAAAGAGGACGGGCTCACTCAAGTCAGAGAATAATTCATCCGCAGACATGGGGGACAAGGTAGCCTCCTCAGGAACAGGGGTCAAACCAGCGGGAAACAAGTCAGCAGGAGAGTTCATTGTAGTTCACGAAAAAAAATGTTGTGGGGAGAAAATAAAGCAAAATATAATATAGACGAAAGAATTCGTGAGAACTTGTGTAGGTTGTTTATTTCAAAAGAAAAGTAAAGAAATATAAAATTCGATTGTCTTTCTACACGGAACTATCTACTGATATTTATATGTTTTTCTAATTTGTAATTCAATGTGTGCTTAAGTAATCTTTATCACGATGAGTCATCTTCCAGGAGTATTGTTCTTCTGGAAAGATCCGGAAAGACCAATTGATATGATACTTCTCCAGTCAGATCAGTCCAAGAGTTTTGGTAAAGAAGAGCATTTATGCTATTGGTAATATTTTAGTATTCCGACCCAGATACTCGGGTAATGTTTCATAATATTAGATAGTTGTAGTTGTAGTCTCTCAATTAAGTATTTGTATAATAAAAGAAATATGTAGATGAAATATAATGATGCCATATATATAATGTATATGTATTTGTATATCCCATGTCATGGTGATAATAATAAATAATCAATTATGTGTATGATGATCTGTGTATTAGATAATATCATAAAGGGAGATCCGTTTGACTGGAATAGCTAAGGATATTATTTTATCCTTCAGTCTTACTCTCAGATTCAGCAGTAATCAATACTCATTCACAACAATAAACATCGTCTCATGGTGTAAATATCGAAATTGCCATTTTTACATTTCTTGATATCTCCACGAATATTGGTCTGTTGCTAGTCAAATAAACACTAGAGATCATGGATCAATTTGCTCAACAATTTTACTTGGTAGCAAAAAAAAACAAAAATATCCGATTTTTTTAGGTGAATACCCTGAGAGAACGTTTGGATCAAATATGCTTATATGGTGTAAATATTCAAAATCTTATTAGTAAATTGTTTTTTTTAGAGTGAAAAAATGAGATATTTTGTCTGGTATTTATGCAATCAATGTCAAACAACATCTGAATGATGGATCATAATGTACTCCACCAGGTTGCTTATATATAAAAAGTAGCTTGACTTAACCGATATAGAGTTATAGCTGAATTTCAAGATTTGATTTGCCATTTTGATCAAAATGCCCTTTTTTTTATTACACTTTTCATTTCACCGGTAAATTCAATAATATTCAATGTGCATTTATATCATATAAACCAATTTAACTAACCTTTGAGCGATCCGAACACTATTATAACCTTCAATGAACACACAATACAATCTCGAAGCTCATAAAAAATAGACCTGTTTATTCGGACCATCGCATACACAAACCCTTTTTATTTTTAAAATGCTTTTAAATAATTATATTCTGAAGATCTGTGAATGTTATTACAGAAATATTAGATCCATTCAGTGTGTATATGTGTTCTCTTGGATCTTTGTGCTTTGAAGGTCTGCGAATAATTTCCATACGGTAACCTAAACCAAAGTGCTTTCCTGCAAAATATAATAAACCCCGACGTTCAAACAGCTTGGAGAGATCGAGGCTCAAGAAAGAAAATGGCTATCAAGCGTGTAAAATAGATATGTTGACAGCGTGATTTTCTTCTAAAAGCCTTTACTAAATCATATAAAATAAAAGCAACCCTTTTTAAAAGACCTTTCAAAAGACCTTTCTCTTGTGTTTTTCTGTATCTTGTATTGTTCAATATTAAAAAGTATACACACTTTTTAGTACCATATATAAGAATTAAGATATTATTCTTGTAATAGTCAAAACTCTTTTATATTTCTAAGAAATCAATCAGATATCGACTGTACATATATATACCAAGTACTTTCAAGACTTTAACAATTTTTAAACGCGTGTGCATTCTGGTTTTTACCCTAAAAACTCTTGCTTTCTATCATGAGTGGCTGTTAAAAGGATGCGCAAATCAACATTGGACGTCAGGCTGAATGAGAAAACTAGGGAATTGATCTTTAATGCGCAATGTTCTGACAAACTCATTTCTGCAAAGACATGATGAGAGTTATATATAAGCTAATGAGCTATTCGCATGAGCAGAATTGTAGTTTCTGATGGTAAATAAGGTTTCGCATCGTTGTCGCTCGTCTTTTTCTGTTTTTTGCGTCCTTTTTTGTTTACTTTTTGCTTTTTTTTTCATCGTCTTTAGCTCTAGTAGTCACCTGCATATGAAAATAGTCACACCTCTTTCCCCTTAATTTTTTTTGAAGGGGCACACGTCAGCGATGAAAGGATGCAAGAGATGCGTAAAGTAGATGGAAGACTCCATTTACTTTGGTCCTCTTCACCGAAAAGGAACTCGTGAAACTCAACTCCGTTAAAGTAGTTCAAGTGACGATTGACGTTCTTTCAAAAAAAAAGTGTGTGTGTTAGGTACCACCGCACTCGTCTGTAATATTTCTTTTTGGAATTGGTTTGAGTTTAATAAAGAAGTGCAGTATGATTGTACTGAAGTTCTGACGATATTTTGTAGAGTTAGAAAGCTCAAGAGAAGCGAGAGGTTTGTAACGAGTCTTAAAAGAGAAAAATAAAGGTGTAGCGGTTTATATCAGAGAAGAACTCTAAGACTTTGTGCATCGAGGATAAAAAAGTATGGGAATTGTATAATACAAATACACATATTTGGCCCAGCATCTGATTTCACAGTAGATGTGTTAATATGGAGCAAAATATTTAACAAATATTCTCAATTTGGGTCCATGGCTATTTAGATAGTGTATTCTACATCAAAGACATATGAGGGAAATTTTATTATTCAAAGATTTTTATAAAATAAATATAAAGTAAATGTAATATAGTATAAGATGGTCAAGTTCATGCTACTTCAGTCCAGTCCAGTCGATTCCAGTCAAGTCCAGTTGATTTTTTTTGTCCAGTTGATTTTTTGAGCCTTTTTTTTTGTCCAGTCAATTTCACGGAATAGTAATAATGGAATAGTTTTGGTATTGAAAAGAATAAAAGGATGATTTGAACTTTTTTTTTCTTGCTTTTTTTTTGCTTTTTTTTTGTCCGAACACAGCACACAGTAAAGGGGATAATTCGGACTTTTTGATTTTGAATTTTTTTTTTTGATTTTTTTTGTCCAGTCAATTTCACAGAATAGTAATGAGAATAGGTTTTGATATTGAAAAGAATAAGAGGAGGGGTTTTTGGTATTGCTCTTTTTGCTCTTTTTGTTTTTTTTGAGCTTTTTTTTTGAGCATTTCTTTTGTTTTTGTTCAAAGACTTCATTTGCTTTGCATGTATATAAGGGGATTTCATACCTTGTCCTAATCCAGAGTCTTGTTTCAGTTCGCAGCCTTGCTTCAGTCCAGGTCCAGGTTCCAATGCAGAGTTCTTCCGGTTTGTTCATCTTTTTTTTTGTTTTTTTTTGTTCTTTTTTTGTTTTTTTTTTTTGTTATTTTTTGTTTTTTTTTAGAGGAGGACTTAGTATATGCCTGTTTTTTTACAGGACTTATTATAGGCCTCGGGTTCGGATTTCTTTTGATCCTTTTTTGTTTGAGTGGAGGACTTGATATGTACCTGATCATTTCTGATAGGTTTTGGTCTACGCCTCGGTTTTTGGATTTGATCATTTTTGTTTGAGATAAGGACTTAGTATATGCCTTAGTTTCGGATTTCTTTTGATCCTTTTGGAGTGGAGGACTTAGTATATGCCTCGAGTTCGGATTTCTTTTAATCCTTTTGGAGAGAAGGACTTAGTATATGCCTGCCTTTTTTTTGCACAGGACTTAGTATAGGCCTCGGGTTCGGATTTCTTTTGATCCTTTTGGAGAGGAGGACTTAGTATATGCCTGTTTTTTTTTACAGGACTTAGTATAGGCCTCGGTTTTGGTTTTTGATTTTTCTTTTGGAACTTGCTTTTGGAACTTTGCATTGGACCCTTTCTTGGAAATCGACTTGGTTTTGAGACTTGGAGGTACGACCCAGACTTTGGACTTGGATAGAAATGCGCCTCTACTTTTGTATGTATATATGTATGTGTATATGTATGTATATGAGTGTGTATATGTATGTGTGTATGTATATGACTATGACTATTTGTATGTCTGTGTGTGTGTGTGTATAAGAAAGAAAAATAAAGAATAGAAATTGTGTGTGCTTGTGTGTGTGTATGTGTGTATGTATTTTTCTACTTCTCTAATTGTGTACTTCTCTACTTGTTTGTATATATCTGTGTGCTAGGACTAGTACTATACCAACACTTGGATAGTTTTGGACATTTGGACTTTGACTTGGACAAGACTCGGAATTGGACTTGGACATAAAAGCAAACCGTGGCTTGACCATTTCAGGGATTCTGCTAGTCTATGAGTTTCCACTTGAGATAGAGATAATTGTGAATATATTTTTTTTTGCTTCTTTTTTGCTTCTTTTTTGCATCTTTTTTTTTGAATTTTTTTTTTGTATCTTTTTTTTGTATTTTTTTGTATCTTTTTGTATTCTTCTTGCTTGACTTGGTTCTTGCTGCTGTCATTCTTGCACAAGATTCAGGCTTCTGAATTTGCCGCATTATTGGAGCTGATAAGGCCGAATATGGCTTAAAAAGATAAAGAAGAAAATTAGTGAGAAAACGAGAAATATATTTAAATATAGGGCAGGTTTGAATGACTGAAATAACATACCTTAATTGAGAGAATTTGTTTCGTAAGGAAAGGAACTTGGCTTGGAATAGGTAACATCATCTGAAGAGACGGGCCCGGGACTGCAAAATGTTCTTCGATGACCGGGCGGAATGGACCTTGACCACCAGCAGGGGGTATACAAGACCACCAACAGTAAACAACCAAACTTCCAGCAGAAACAATGTGCCAACTTGCAGCGATGGGGTCAACCACAAAAGGGTTTGGCCACCAAATGGCAGAGGAGCTACCAGATCTTGGCTTACCACGCCAAGAACCCTAAATATATACAGGCATACAATGCAATGTACAATATTTCGAGGGGAGAAAAGGTACGACTAGCGTACCGAGCAGCTTTGCCTTTTGGTAAAGTCTAACGCTCCCAAACTCTCTCTGGTATCCTCTAAAGGGTTGTAGTATTGTGAGCCCTGTCACAGGGCGACCTTGAGAAGAAGAAGAGCAAAATATCATATAATTAGTACCGAGACATGTTGTGTATAAATAGTACTTATCTTCTGGATGGACGGACCAATGGTTGATATTGTCTCTGACGAAAAAGTCCAGAGACAGAAGCAACCCTTGAAAAATTGCCTTATCGCTTGCTTTGTGGTTCACATTGTTTCTGCCTTGAGCTCTGTTGTTTACTACTGGCGGCCTCTACTTGTTCCTTGCTGGTGTTCTCGGCCCATAATATAAATCCGGTCATCTCAAATACCTTTTTTGCAGTCCTGAGCCAATAGTCTCGAATGATGATGAGGAATTTATTCTTGTTGTAACCGTATCCTAGTCGAGACTCTTCGTGTGCTTTTTGACCAACCCAGCGAGATGGCGAGACTCTGGGTCAGCTTACTTGATCTTAGGTTTGTTGTGCTTGAAGGTTTATATTCTTGAATACTTGGATACTTGAATGCTTGATATCATTTTTTCATGTTCATGTTCATGTTTATGTTCAAATTTGCTTTGATATTGGACCCAATTTTCCGTAAAAGTATATATATATATACATGGCTTGTATGCAGTTGTCTCGACTTGGTTTGGATAGGTTCATCGAAAGTAACCTTGCTTCTCCTTCACAGCTGAAAGTTTGCGTAAATGCCCTTCGACTCGGGTCTTGTTTTCTTGAGTATACGCATTTCCAGTTGCTAACTGTAACCTGCTTTTTTGTGACAATTTCTAGCTCACCCTGCTTGGTCTGGTTCATTTACCAGACCATATTAATCAGAGTCCTCCTCAAATGAGGGTGGCTAGGACTCTAACCACAGGTTTTGCGTGATGCTTGAAATCATCGGCGAATTCCACGCTATCTCTTCAATGACTTTTTTTTTGTATAGTCAGTTTATGTTGATTCAACTGATAAAGTCACTGATACCCAATTGATCAGTCATTGAAGCATATCCTTTTGTGCAGATGAACTTTGGTTTTGCCATCTCAAAATAGCTGCGGATGTCTGGACATGCATGTGTACGCATCGTTTGAGTCCGGACACAAGGACTGGTAGCAATCATAATGACTGATATACCGTCATGTCTGTGAGGGAAAACCTCGCCAATCTTGTGTAGAAACTAGGTGTTTTTGGCTCGTTTTCCCGAAACCTCTTGGGATTGTCTACCCCCCAGCAATAGATTTTCCACAATCTATGGTGTAGCAAACTCAAAGTCCAAAAAGACTTGTCCGAGCCTACCAGTGAATCTTCGAAAACTCACCAAAAAAAGGGGGGGAGACTGAAGATAGCCTTCCAAGGACTTCAAGAAAGAGTCCGGCAAGGAAGCAAAACCCATTCGGCCAGACATGACTACATAATGAACACCGTGCCCCACAGTATTCATTCTCCCTGGCTTAAGCACAAAACTCAAGCTACAAAGGCCTTGAACCCAGGTACAGAACAGGCCAGAGACCCAGCCAACCGCGATTTCCAGAATGAGATCAGAACGATACCAGAACGATACCAGAAATCTAGTCAACCAGACCAGACCAGCCAACAGGACCACCGTGGCCCAAAAACAACCCAGAATCAAGGACTCCGGAAGCCCTACTCGTACAGAAACCACCACTCACAGATCTCGGCCTCAGACCTGAGAGGAAGTCAACAAGAACCCTACGAACAAAAGGTTCAAGCCAACCCTACAGTAGTGCAAGCACCACCCTCGAATGTATACAAACAGCAAATACCAGAGGCAAACAGGATTGAAAACCAGTCTAGTACCACCACAGGTTACACTCATATGTAGACCTCCACAATCTACCTTCTCTTTATACTGTCTATGCCAAGCCAAGACTCAGAACCAAGCTAACAG